CCCTCCCAGGAGTCCCCACGCGGCCCGCTTTGGATACAGGTAAGTGCAGGGTGCACACAGACACTCGGGGAGGGTGAAAATCAGGTATACCAGACGTTCGGGAATCCAGAGGGCCTCCGGAGCCTGGGGAGGCCGTTTTCGCCCTCCTGGAGGCTTGGAAAAAACCTCTGGAGCCCAGGGAGGGCAAAAACACCCCTCCTCCGCTGTGGTGCAGGAGGCCGACTAGGCCACGCCCACCATGGGCACCCCCCCACCCAGCAACCGGGCAGAGATCCCCTTGCTAAAAGTTTTGAAGCCCACCCCTGAGTGAAACCCACCCCTGCCCTAAATGGAATTTTTTCCTGCTTGAGAACTTGGCTTTAGCCAAAAAGGATCATTTCAGAACTGGGATTTCCCTCTCCATGAAAAAATTCAGCGTTGTCGGTACTCCTTCCCATCAAACTATCTCCGGGCAATGATGAAGGATTAAGCCAAAACCTTTTCTTTCCATTTGCAGCTTGGGGAAACCTGCAAATGTCGTGTTTGAATTCAAAGACGGCCTTATTCTTGCATTGTCTCTCTGCCTCACTTTCCCCGTTGTATTTATGAAACTGGTAGAAAGGGCGATGGTGGCTCTATCACGACACTGTGATATGAATTACCGTGTTTCCTCGAAAATAAGACTGGGTTTTATATAATTTTTTTTGCTCCAAAAGTTGCATTAGGGCTTATTTTCTGGTTAGGTCTTATTTTCAGGGAAATACGGTACTGCCGTGTTTCCCCAAAAATAAGACCCTGTCTTATATTTTTTTGAACCCCGAAATAAGTGCTCGGCTTTATTTGGCTTGGAACAAGACCAAATTTAACTTCCAACGTGTCTCCCTATTTACTAAACAACATAGTCCGCAGGCTGTCCCTTTCCTGCCTCTTGGTCAGCTCTCATCCCAAACTTGACATTCCTTAGAAAAAGATGGTGAAAGGAAATTTCACTTCAGGTGAAAAGCAATTTTAAAATCACCCCGATTTCGGATTAATACACGGAGTTCTGATATACCGCATTTCCCCGAAAATAAGACGTCCCCGGATAATAAGCCCAATCGGGCTTTTGAGCGCATGCACTAAAATAAGCCCTCCCCAAAAATATTTAACTGCATGCGCCATTTCCTCAGGCGTCTGTCAAGATCCAAAAGGATCTTGGCAGACTTGAACAATGGGGCCGTATCCAACAACAGTAATGTGGAGAAAAAGCAAAGTTTGACAGCTAGGTAGGAAAAATCTAAGGTAGAAGTACGGATGAGGCGAAACCTGGATCAAAAACGGTCATGAAAGGGCTGTTAAACACGAGCCAGCTGTATGCGCCGGCAGCCCCCCCCCCAAAAAAGCCAATGCAATGCTTGGTTGCATAAACAGAGGCATAGAATCGAGATCACGTGAAGGGTTAGTACTGCTTTGTAAAGCTTTAGTAAGGCCACATCTGCAATGTTTTGGTCATCACATTAGAAAAATGATGTTGAGACTTTGGAAAAAGTGCAGGGAAGAGTAACTAGGAGGATCGAAGGCCTGGAGATTAAAACAGATGAAGAAGGGTTGCTGGAATTGGGTTTGGCCAGTCTAGAGAAAAGAAGGACTAAGGGGGACATGATAGAGGTCATCCAGCATTTGAGGGGCTGCCCCAAAGAAGAAGAGGGGGGTCCACTTATTTTCCAAAGCGCCAGAAGGCAAGGCAAGAAACAATGGATGGAAACTCACCAAGGAGTTTGGTTTCCATCCTGGAATTAAGGAGAAACTTCCTAACAGTGAGGACAATTAACCCGTGGAACAGCTGGCCACCAGAAGTTGTAGGCGCTCCATCATTGGAGGTCTTTAAGAAAAAACTGGACAGACACCTGTCTGAAATGATCTAGGGTCTCACGTTTGAGCAGGGGGTTAGTTGGATTAGAAGACCTCCAAGGCCCCTTCCAGCTCTATTCTGATTGATTGATTGATTGATTGATTGATTGATTGATTGATTATGGTCTAAGGTCTCCTGCTCGAGCAGGTTAGACTAGAAGACCTCCAAGGCCCCTTCCAAGCTCTATTCTGTCTGAATTGGGGGAAAAATGGCCCCATGCTCACCGAAATACACTGAAAGAAGAGATTTACTTCTGTTTAGATCTGTTATGTTGCGATACTCTCATATGTTGTTAAGAGTGGTTGCCGAAACAGCACTCAACTCCTAACACTTGGTGTAGAACTATCCAATGCATTTGAATGCGGTGTTAATCTTATGCAGGGCAGAGTCTAGGAAGGCTCAGCTAATCACCCGAGGAAGACAAAGCATGGAAACTTTGATTATTATCTGAATCTTCTGTGGGTCGGAGAGTTAGGTTTCCCTTAGCTAAGGTGTAACTCTCTGTTATGTAAGTTGCACCGCGGAGTTTCCACACCGTCCGGCAGCAAAACCTGCTTTTGAAAGCTACCAAGGAATAGCTGAGTCACCGAGAAAACTGCACCGGCGAAGGGAGAGCTTTCGCTGAAACCGACGCTGGCAGTGCCCACGAGCTTCGCTGAGCATCCCGTTCAAACGAGAGGTCGAATATCAGATCCAAAGAGATCACGAAACCTTTAGCAAGGCCACACCTAGAAGAATGCGGTGGCCAGCTTTGGCCCCCACGTTACATAAAAAGATGTTGAGACTTTGGGGGAAGGGGGGGGAGAAATGCAGAGAAGAGAAACTAGGACAGTGGTGGCTAACTTTTTTGCCGTCGCGTGCCAGAAGTGAGGGGAGTGCGGTGGGGTGGGGGGCATGTGCATGCCCACGGTATGTGAACGTTGTCCTAGCCCAGCTCCAGTGCACATGTGTGTACCGGCCAGCTGATTTTTGGGCCTTCTGGGCCCACTGGAAGTCGGGAAATGGGCCATTTCCGGCCTCTGGACGGCCTCTGCAGGGGCAGGGAAGGCTGTTTTAACCCTCCCCAGGCTCCAAGGAAGCTTCTGGAATCTGGGAAGGGTGAAAAACGGGTCTACCGGGCCCACTGTTAACCTTTTTGCCGTCACATGCCAAAAGCGGGGGTAGCGTGGGGGGAGGTTCGTGTGCATATGAGTGGGGGTGCGGGGTGTGGGGGGGGCGTTGAATTATGGGTGTGGACACGCGTGCGCACAATCCCCCCTGCTCCCCACGGTTTTGGCACGCGATGGCGAAAAGGTTGACCATCACTGCCCTAGACCATTTCAATCAATCGATCAGAATAGAGCCGGAAGGGACCTTGGAGGTCTTCTAGTCCATCCCACCTGCTCGAGCAGAAGCCCCTGTACCATTTAAGGCAAATGGTTGGAACTTACAGATGAACTTGGAAGCAGAGTTAAACGTATCTTGTGGTTTTATTCATACCCCGTGCTTGTTTTCTGCAACAAACACACGCCCACTTATTTTCCCACAACAACTGTGCTGTGAGTTGGGCTGGGCTGAGAAGTGTTTTGGATTTAGGCCCAATGGCTTCATGAAGAGAAGATTAGAACTTCCATTCTCCCTGATGCTAAACCATCCCTGTATTTTATTTTGTTTTTTTTATGAGCAGCATTATCCAAGTAGGTTTTTGGTAGGAGCAGCAGCCAACACTCAGGGCTGTAAAATAAAAATTCCCACCAGCAGGTGTGATGCAACGAATCAAGAACGGCACGCTGCAAAGAATGTCCTGTGAGAAACAGAATAACAAAGTCGGAAGGGACCTGGGAGGTCTTCTAGACCAACCCCCTGCTCAAGCAGGAGACGCTAGACCATTTCCATCCATCCATCAATCCATCCATTCATCAATCAACCAGAATAGAGCTGGAAGGGACCTTGGAGGTCTTCTAGTCCAACTCTCTGCTCAAGCAGGAGACATTCTACCAAATGCTTGTCCAATCTCTTCTTGAAGTCCTCCAGTGATGGAGCACCCAGAACTTCTGGACGCCAGCCCTTCCGCCAATTAATTGATCTGGGCTTACAGATCTGGAAGGGTCCTTGGAGGTCTTCTAGGCCAAGCAAGAGACCTTATGCCTCCTGAAGACCTCCAGAGTTGGAGCACCCACAACTTCTGGAGGCAAGTCGTTCCGCTGGTTAAATTGATCTCACTGTTGATTAATTTCCATCCATGGTTTCTTGTCCTGCCTTCAGATGCTTGGGAAAATGGGTTTGACCCAGTTGGTGAAATCCAAATTTTTTTACTACCGGTTCTGTGGGTGTGGCGTGGTGGGCGTGGCAGGAGAAGGATACTGCAAAATCCCCATTCCCTCCCCACTCCTGGGGGAAGGATATTGCAAAATCCTCATTCTGGGGCCAACCAGAGATGGCATTCGCCGGTTCTCTGAACTGCTCAAAATTTCCGCTACCAGTTCGCCAGAACCTGTCAGAACCTGCTGGATTTCACCCCTGGTTTGACCCCCTCTTGAAATGGAAAAAAAAAGTAACTTATGGCCATTTCTCACACTTACGACCTTCATAGCCTTCCCCAGGAGCATGGGATCAAAATCCAGATGCTTGGCAACCACTTCATACTTACGACCGTTTGCCGTGTCCCAAGGGCACCTGATCCCCTTTTAGCAAACTTCTCCCGTTGGGGGCATCCAGATTCACTGAACAGCCAGGTGACTGACTTATCGACTGCCGTGATTCGCTTAGCGACGACAGCCAGAAACTTCCTACAATGGGGGCAAAGCCAATGTTCTCGCTTAACCCCAGAAATGTTGCGGTCGTAAATTGAGGTCTACCTTTACCCTGCAGCCTTCCTACCTGCGATCCCATCATCGCCATACACCATATTCTGTGTCACATCCATGGGCCTTTCCCCCTTTCCCCTTTTCGTTTTTCCCTCCAACATATGATAATAAAAAAAATAATAATTACTTAACCGCTGGATGCTTTGCAAATAGGAGGTTCATTAGATGGGATTGGCTAATGTCTTCCCGCGTTCAGACTTGTTCTCCTGGAATTTCCGATATATACTTAAGATAACTTCGGGGTTAATTCAGAACAACTCTTACCTCCTGGTTGAGTTCAGATT